TGGGCCAGTGAAGCGACATCCTCCACAACTAGACTGAAGAACAAAAGGACAGCAACTTGTCTGTTCCCCTTCCCCCGATTCTCCAATAAAATCTTTAAAAAAAAAAAAAATAAATAAATAAATAAATAAATAAAATATATATATACACACACTTTCTCACTATTGTGTAGTAACTCCTCATTTTCAAGCTTACCTCATCTTGTAACTAGGCAGATCTTGCTTTACTATTAGCTAATCAGTTTAGATTGTAAAGTCACGCTCTCACCAATAGAGTACGACATAGTGGAACCTGCGTAAGGGATAAAAACTGAGTGGACTTCCCACTCAGTGTGCTTGTTAGACCGGCTTACAGTGGCTCTGCACCCTTCTGCAGAAGTAGTTTCCCTTGCTGAGTTACTTTCGACTTCATGTATCTTTATTTGCGACACGGCTAAAATCTGTTCCCAACACTATCTCCTCAGAAAACTTGCTTTATTGATGATTCCTTGGTTCTTTCCCATCACCACCAACTTCTCCTCCACTATACTCATTCCTCTAACATCAAAACATCATCAAATATGTTTACGTTTTGAAACAAATTCTCGTCTTGGAACAAATTCAAGCCTCAGGCCCCACTTAACCCTCCAGTTACTGCTCAATCTCTCTTCCCCTTGATCATAAAACTTTTTGAAAGAGTCATCTACCCTCACACTCTCCCCATTTCCCCACCTCCCTGACTACACAGCAATCTGGTTCGCATCTCACCACTTCACTGACACATTGCCAAGGATTTAAGAGATTGAGAATTAACCCGGTGACTACATTTCTGTCTTTGATTTAGTTGGTCCCTCAGAAAAATTCTATCACTATTTTCTTCTATAAATTATTCTCTTTCTTGGGCTTTTGTCACTACAATCTCCTTGTCAGCTTACTTCTCTGGCCACTTTCCTTCAGGGTCCTCAGCAAGCTCTTCTCTCGCTGTTGACTTTCCTCCCGTCCTCAAAACTCAGTCCTGGCCCCTATTTCTCACCTTATTCTATGCATTTTATATTTATCCATTCTCTCAAACTTAATTTCCATCACTAGTAACACCAAAATCTCAGATTTAAACTTAAAACCCTTATATCCAGCTGCCTT